GGAGTACGCGAGGAGGGTGATGATGACGAAGGAGGGGGAGGAAGTGCCAGAGAGGGGGCTGATACTGGAGAGCATCAGGAAGGAGGGGGAGAGAAGGACAAGGAACGCGACTGGGCTTCCAGCTTTGGAACAATGCTAGGTGTTTGCAGGATCAGCTTGATTCGTTGTTCTCTTTGAAATGTTCGTGTGTGCTTTTGAAACTGTATTAAAGAACAACCATGGGCTTAAAATCTCATGACCCTCTGGATTGTTTCCATCAAGAATTTCCTTTCTTGCCCCTCGTCAATTCTTGAACAGCAAACTTCTCTGGATAGCTCAAACCCATTCGCGACCCTCGACTGACTGTATTTGACTCCCACACGCTCAATCCAGAAAGAAGCATGTCTACAAGTGCTCCGTGGAGTTGGATGGGTCGTCGCATGGATCGTCCTCTGGCGTCGTCGCTCAGGTAGATGACGCCATTGGTCTTGTCGCGTGAGAGCTCGCTGATGAATTCAGCATCTCAGCAATAGAGAATGTAGAGGAAGAATAGACTTATATTCTTATAATGTACTTATATTCTTCGAGTTGAACGTTCCCCCTCTGAGGTTCTCCGAGACTTTTCAGCACAAGCACTGGTGTGAAGCAGCTAACCCCGCAGTGCACAATGACATTGTGTGAAATGATTAAAGATTTTTGCTAATCTAGAAAACCTCTGTCTCGGAATCCTTGTAGAGTTATCACCCTACCCCTACAACAGCGACGGACAGCGCAAACGCTCAGGTTACCCACCACTACCCCACCCACCACAGGGAGATTAGAGCCTAGAGCGCGAAACCAACACCTCGTGCCGCCTCCGAGACCAAGGAAGAGGAGCAGCATCGGAAGAGGCAGAACAACTTTGTCTTTCTTCGTTCTCTGTCTTCTCAACATGGAGTTCCTCTGCCTGCCTCCCGCTACCGACGACTCCTCGCACGCGCCATCCTCTCTTTCCATCCCTTCCCCTCTCGATCTCGACCTCCCCTGCTCCTTCTTCCCTGATGCCTCCTCCTTTTCCCTCCCTCCCCTCAGCTTCCCATGCCCTTGCGGTGCCCCACTCCTGGACGACGCTGGCCCGTGCCTCGTCTGCGGACTGTTCTCAACTCGAACTCACAACGACCTTCATGCGGACCCCCAAGAAGACATGGCCAGCGCTTGCCCGGACCTCCTCCTTGCCTCCCGAGACAAGCCCCGCTGGGACGCCGACGCCCGCAGGACCCACAGCCAGGCCTGCACGGGCAAGAGCCGGCTGAGCGTGCAGGAGAAGCTCGACATCGTGTGCATGTACTACTCGGCGCCGTCGTCGACGAGGTGCCGGAGGACGGTGCACCAGTGGGACATCGCGAGGATGTACGGGAAGAGCCGTGCGGCGATCAGCAAGGTGCTGAGGCCGGAGTACGCGAGGAGGGTGATGATGACGGCAGAGGGGCTTCAGGCGAAGAAGCGAGCAGGGGTAATGAGGAGCATTAGGGAGGAGACGAGGAGGAAGCAGCAGCAGCAGCAGCAGCAGCAGCAGCAGCAGCAGCAGCAGCAGCAGCACAAGAGGAGAACTGACTTGAGGAGCTTTGTTTTGAGTTAAAGCATCAGAGTATCGTCAGCTTCTGGAGGATGGGGCTGGGAGCAAAGAAGGGAGCGGGGGGTTGAAGGGACTAGGGAGGGGACAAGGAGTCAGGAAGAGTTGGTGGAAGTGGGAGGAAGCTGGAACAGCAGCACCAGCACAAACATCAGCATGAGCGTCAGATCTGAAGCAGCAGCATCATCAAGTTTGTTTTCTTTAGTGTGGAAATCTTCATATTTGTTTGATGTTCCTCGTGCATTTTATGACATGTCTTGTTGAGTTCTGTCACACTGTTCTTGAAAATACAACTCAGCGCTGATGTGTGAGTGATGAAGAAATGGTTCAAAGTTATTGAGCAACAGTTTTGCATCGCTGAGTAAAATCCTATCATATTCTTTTGTGCTGTTTCAAGAGGGAGGACCTCCTGTTTCCTTCGAAGAGAGTAGCAAGCGAGGATCAAACAAGAAGATGAGGAGCAAGTGACAAGCAAGCGAGGAAGCGAGGGGCAACTGAGGATGCGAGGAGCAAGCCAGGAAGCGAGCAGCAAGGGAGAAAGCGCGCGGGGAAGCGAAGAGCGCGCGAGGAAGCGAGGAGCAAGCGAGGAAGTGAGGAGTCAGGGAGGAAGCGAGCGAGGAAGCGAGCGAGGAAGCGAATTGAAGGAAGCCCTGTATGTTTTTTTACTTGGAAACATTCTTTTTAAATCTAAAACAGTAAAATGGGAGTCCACAAGACCCCCTAACACCCCTGATGATATACGAATGCTTGGCTGGGGGGATAGGGTCCTGCGGAGGATCCACTCCGTTAGGTGAAAGTATCCACCCCACCCCCTCTCATTCAAAGGACCGACCGTCCGACCCCTACCCCCTCCGATGTTTTATCAGCGGCACCTTGCCATTAGAAAGGGTAGGGAATGGAACCGTTGCGGTTCTGCCGATCCAGGACAACAAACTCACCTCGTGAAACTTGGGGAACTTTTATATTAGGGACCCTCCGAGTCCGACCCCCCTTTGATAGCATAAACTAGCTTCCAATGATGAGGTACTACTGGCGGTACCGTAGTACCGGATTATACCCGGTGACCGGGCCTAGCTCGGACCCCAACGATGTGACTTAACTTTGAGTAAATGTGTGAAAGATGAGAGTCATCACTGAGGCTGATTGTCCACGTGACGTACTGAATTTTAATTTATCTTTGAGTATATCAGCCTGGCCGGGCTGGGCCGGCCTCCGACTCGTAAACTTCGTACAAGTATCTCTCGATCCACGGTGTTGACACACGAACTTCGGAAGTGATCCCGTCAAGAAACCAAAGAGCAAGCCTCAGCAATGCACAATCCAACGGCCGCGCACTTTACTCCAAACTTTGGAGTAACTTCCGTGCGCGAAACCGACGTTCAAGAGATGAAGAACTTGGAAAAGTAAGTAATCTAATTTCCTAAGAAACGAGACTGCCTAGGACACCTACTTAAGAAAGACAGAAAGTCAGTAAACATATCCTATCAGACAATCAAGTACCACACGGTGTCACAGTGTGGCCCACCGGGCACCGGCACTGGAGCTTGTCTATGTGGGTCATTCGAAACTTAAGTGAATTTGACGGTGACGCTGCCAGCTTCAACCTTCAAAAGCAGCTTCACTGGTGACCAGCGCGCGGCACCGTCTGAGCCTCGGAGCTAGAAGCTCCGACTGGCTCAGCGGCTCTCGCCCGGCGCCCGGCCTCGCGGCCGGGCGAGCCGACCGCGCTCCCGGTCCGAGGCTCACCGCCGGGGTGCCAGTGACAACCGTTGAACGGTACGGTCATTACGTAATGGCCGAACTGAACCCTCGCGGCGCCCCTGAGGCCCCCGCCTCGGGCCTGCCAGAGGATTCGCCGATGACTTGAAAGTGCCATGATCATCCGAGATAACTTAACTAATGAAAACACGGCGAGGCTCCGACTTGTCATTCCATGCCGCCACCGTCACCGTAGTACTCATTGACCCGCGACTGTCTGAGTTTCGAGCGAGATGATAGAAGATACCACACTCTGGTACAACAGTGATCGCCTCTGATCCATCAGCATGTAAGCAAGATACCTCAGCTCTGCTGTCAAGCTTGTTTCTGCTGCATCAAAGGTGCCTTCATCGAATACCTTTGGGCGCATCTCCGAGAGGATGACGTCTGATGGCCGCCTATCTTCCGAAGTTCGGCCCAGTGGTTTGTCATGAGCAGCAGACGTCATCGCTCGTGCTCCTACCAACCGTCTATACACGTGTTATACCAAGGATGATCTAGGACTATCGCTGCCTATAGCGATCATCCTACTTGATATGTGCATGACATATTCATGCTATGGGATCTACACTGACATGTACCTGGAGTCCACTGTCTGTCATCATTAATGATGACATGAAAGGTTTATCTTGTTTTGATCCTTTGCTGACATAGCTCGTTGTGGATAGATATGTTCTACCTCACCTGGTCATCACCTGGTAGCCGATCAGGGTTCTTCTCTGCCCTTCTGTCCCTCCACCACGGATCCCCGCTGATCTTCTCTATCGCCTCAAGCACGAATAGAGTTGATCTTCCCTTCTTCCTTTGTCATCAAATCCCGAATAAACCTTTCCTTACTCCCCTTCCTATCGCTGAAGGCTTCATCACCTCCAGAATTCCCTTTTCTTCCAAGTTCATCGCTTCAGTCCTTTCCTCTCCACCAAAGTGCTACTTCGTTGTTCCGTACATTGTTCGATTGTCCGAATGAGGACTACTGATTCAAGAGCTCACCTTGAGATCTACCCTACGGCTGGTTGGGAGCGTAGCAGGCAGCATAGCAGCCGGTCTTACTGAGCTCATCAGAGTTGTCTCTTCTGCGCTCAGCAATTGCTTCAGAGGAAGTTCGGTTCAGGCCCGGTAACGGTCCATAAGGGTCGGACTCATACTGACCTTCTTTTATTATTTTAGTGACTGAGTTCAGTCAAGATCCTTCATAGTATTACTCAAAGTTAAGTTAAAGATCAGTACAAACGGCGAGAAGACAAAAGACAGCGAGAACCAAACCCAATCCTGCCCACTGCTGTCCCCCAAACTTAAGTGATAACTTCACTTAACTGCCCGCAGGACAACCGCGCCATGACAGCGATGCGATCCTGGTCCGGATGCCGTCAGTCACTTGATAGTTTGAACTTCGGCATGTGAAAGACATACTCTGACTATTTCAAAAAACGCTTGCCTATTTTAAAAACAATTCAAGAAAACTGGAGGCTGCTCCTGACTCCTCCCCCACCCCCCAGTCATCTACCCCCTTAAAAAAAATGTTTCCATTGCTGCCCACCCCCCAAGATACTACCGCCTACCCTACCCTCGTAGTTAATTAACACCGCTTTCCACTCCATCCATCGCGCCTCCTGCCATGGTTACCTGCGCTCCTACTCCCTCTTCCGACGTCTCTCTCCTCAACGCTAAGGACACGCCTGATGATCTCCATCCACTGCTCCTCAAGTCAACAGATCTTTGCCGCAGGTGTGGTGGGCTTCGTTTCGACGAGGAGCAGGAATGCTGCGATCTGTGTATGATATGCAGCAATCATAACAAGCATACTCAAAACAACTTTGAAGGTCCATCGTCAGCGGTGATCCCAAATGAATTGCTCCCCTCGCCTTCCTCAAGCAGCTCTCAAACCCAGGAATCTTCCCCTAACCTCATTCGTTCTTCTGATGACCCATCCCGCTGGGACGCCGACGCCCGCAGGACCCACAGCCAGGCCTGCACGGGCAAGAGCCGGCTGAGCGTGCAGGAGAAGCTCGACATCGTGTGCATGTACTACTCGGCGCCGTCGTCGACGAGGTGCCGGAGGACGGTGCACCAGTGGGACATCGCGAGGATGTACGGGAAGAGCCGTGCGGCGATCAGCAAGGTGCTGAGGCCGGAGTACGCGAGGGGGGTCATGAACTCAGAGGCTGGAAAACTTGCGAGGCATCATGATACGATACTGGAGAGCATCAGGGAGGAGGAAATCAGGAGACAGGATGCATCGCAAGCGGGGTTGTGATGCCTGGAGCAATCGTTTTGTTTGTGGATGTTCATGATAATGATGCAATCTATAATATTTGGGAAGGGATTGTAATCACATTCAGAGATGAAATGAAGTTACTGTTGCTGTACAACCGTCTTGATTTTGTTTCTCTAATCCTGAAGAAATGTAGTCGTTTCTCTTAGCATACACATTTATTGGTGGAAAATAACAAAAGGTTCTGACACAACTGTGAAATAATCACAAATTTCGGGTAGTTGCACAAATGGTTGGGCACAACAAAATACTCAAGAGAAGAACAATTCAGGTGTATGGCCACTTGCAGCCATCAGCAAGTGCTGCAGCTGAAAGTAGCTGAGTAGGGTTATGAACTTGAACAAGAGACTGTTATAAAACTGAAAGGCGGCAATGAACGAAGATCTGAGCAGGGGAGATCAGGGGGTAAGACACAACACGAAACGAATGCCACATGAAGAGACTACTGCTCAGGTTTGCTCGCAGAAAGAGAGAATCTTCATATGCCCTTCTTGTGTTTGCAGAGCAGAAAAACTGCTCAGAGGAAAAGCAAGCTTTCGGGACCGTCCTACAACAGATTGTTCGATTCAAACAAAGATGAATAGTAACACGAACTCAAAACGTATATCTTTGACTTGACTGATATTTTTGTGTGGAAAGAATCAAGGCAGGACGCCTTATCCTGATTCCCTCCTCCTTCCTGATGCTCTCCAGTATCGCTCCCCTCTCTGGCACATCCTCCCTGACCCTCCTTCGTCATCATCAATCACCCTCCTTGCTCCCGGCTCTTCCCGTACATCCTCGCGATGTCCCACTGGTGCACCGTCCTCCGGCACCTCGTCGACGACGGCGCCGAGTAGTACATGCACACGATGTCGAGCTTGCCCGTGCAGGCCTGGCTGTGGGTCCTGCGGGCGTCGGCTGTGGGTCTTGCGGGCGTCGGCATCCCAGCGGGGCTTGAGGGGCTGGTCGGGGCTAGAGGATGAAGACTCGTAGCTTGGTGATTTATATCTCACACATGTTGTCTCTGACGGAGGGAGGTTGTTGTTATCAATGATTGGAGCAATCTCAGTCGTGTCGAGAACGGTTGTACACAGGAAGCACGCTTCGGAGACATCGGAGTAAGGGCAGCCGCATTGGGAGCAGCAGGTCCAGCAGAAGGGGGGCATGTTCTCCGAGAGAAAGTCGGGAGGAGGGACAAGGGGATCAGAGAAGAGGAGCTGGTCGCTATTGCAGCACAGCGAAGTGGGGGAAGCGGCATGGGCCATGTCTTGGGTATCAACCCCGCGTCCTCCCCTTTTTAGTTGACCTCAACCCCACTTTCCCCAGGGCATACCACCCCCACTAGTACCACCCCTGTCCGAGTTGGTCATTTGTACCAGAAGATTCACATATATAAAGACTCTTGAGAGGCTAAAAAGTTTTTTACTCAAAGTTATGTTAAAGATCAGCACGAGCCCCCCAGCCATTCCCAAAAAGTGGATTTTAACTTCCGACGGCGATCTGAGGATCACCGGTCCCCTTGACCAACAAAGCACTGGGACCGAGGGGCTGGGGTAGTAACCTTTGAGGGTGTGTATAGTATAAAAAAAATGTTTCCAAACCATAATAAAATAATAATAAAAAATAGAGATTTAAGAGGGGGTGGCAAACAGTCCAGGGAGGGGTAGAGATCTCACTGAATCGCCGGGGTGGACAGGTCGAATATTTGACGTGCACGGGGGTCCAGGGTAGGGGTATGGAACTCATGAAAGTACTCACCCCACCTCCTCGAGCGCGAAATGTCCATAGCAAACCACCGGTGTGCTGCTCCAGCACAGCCCACTCCCCAACCCCGATCTCCCCGCCCCTCCCACTAAGGTTTCTGTCCTTGGCCCTTCATCCTCTGACGCGCTGTGAAACAGACATGATCTCCCTCCACGGTATCTTGTGTTGATGCCCATCACATGCTCTGCGTGATTGATGGAGGGACTGATGTTATCATGTGTGCGTATGCTCGAGCATAGAGCACGACTGCGAGTTGTAGCTGTGATGGGCGATTCCTTCTTTGCCGATGTACCACTCACCTTGTAACAATCAATACCATGTGTAAAGCGATGTGCCATTGCTTGTTATGGTGTCCGTGACAACCCAAGAATAAGGCAGAATTGAAAGACGGATATGCGTTTTGACCGTGCATGAGGCATTTTGTACATGCAACCGTCAGTAGAAAGATGGTTCACTTGAGCAATCAGAAACCGAGATCACTTGAACACGACAAGCAGGTTAAGTTGATGCTGTTCTCTCGGACATGAAGGTCCATGCCATGCCATGTGCTCTGGATTTGTGCTGTGATGTGATGAGCTCCGGCCAGACTTATCACTTCTATTTTTATCTTGTACGCAGCAACCTTCTTCAAAAATAAATAATGCTGCATATTCAAGAACACACCAAGCACAGATTTCTTCTTCTCTGTAGGAAAAGACTTCAAGCTCGCTTGCGAGCAAATGCATTAGAAGTGAATGATACAATTGTACAGAATCATATGTGGTGTATTCCTATCATTTTATGGGCACGGACATACTGTGACTAAGAATGCAGCAGCTCTCATGTCGCTCTCCTCGCTCCTTCTTTCCTGATCCGCCAGAGCACAAGATCCCGCTCTGGCACTTCCTCCCCCTCCTTCGTCATCATCACCCTCCTCGCGTACTCCGGCTTCAGCACCTTGCTGATCGCCGCACGGCTCTTCCCGTACATCCTCGCGATGTCCCACTGGTGCACCGTCCTCCGGCATCTCGTCGACGACGGCGCCGAGTAGTACATGCACACGATGTCGAGCCTCTCCTGCACGCTCAGCCGGCTCTTGCCCGTGCAGGCCTGGCTGTGGGTCCTGCGGGCGTCGGCGTCCCAGCGGGGCTTGAGGGGCTGGTCGGGGCTAGAGGAGGGAGACGATGTGGTCTGCAGTCCATCAAGTTCGAGATCATTCAACTCTGTCGTTGAGACGTTGGTAGGAAAAATGTCCGGGCAGGCAACGGAATCATCTGGGGTTTGCAAGGGAATACACAAGAAGCACGCTTCGGAGACATCGGGGCAAGGGCCACCGCATCTGTAGCAGCAGGACAAGGAGGAGGGACAGGAAGACTGTAGGGGGAGATCTGAGGGGAGGAGGGACTCGGAGAAGGGGAGGAGGAGGGTATCATCCTGGTGGCAGCAGGCGGGATTGAGCATTCGTGCTGCCACTACCTACCCCTACACATGTTCACCCCACCCCACCCCAAGTGACCAAACTCCGGGGAATACTTGCGATACGACACGAGGTGAAGGCCTTTGGCATTTGGATTTTTTGTTTTATTCTTTTTCAGTTTTTTTTTCTCTGGTTTTTTGTTTTGTGATTTTGACCTTGATTTGACCACTCCCTATATCCCTCCCACGCCCTGCTCATCGCCCCTCTCCTCCGCTCCCCGGCTGCCAACGACCTTCTCAAGCCCATCCTAGTCTTGTGCGCGTACTATGACACACTCTTACCCTTGCCTTCTTCGTGTACTGCATCACATTCCTACCTTGTCTTCTGCGTGTACATCATCCCTAGCCTGATTTGCTTCGCAATGATCCTTCCCCTTTGTCGGATGTACAGGAATTTTCCAACAAAAGTTTGATCCATGCGCTGCCTGTTTCCACCCTGTGCTTGAATCTTCCTCATCAGACATGCGACTTGGTCATTCGCTTGCAATCTCTCCTGGGTCTCACCTACTACCTGGTCTTGCTCCTGCAGTCTCTGAAATCGGGAAGCCCGTCTTCACCTGCCCTGCCTATTCTATCTCCATAGAGACTCCCTTGAATCTCCAACAGTCTAAACACTCCAACAGTATTTACTGTATGAATGTACGATCTCCTCTTCATACGCTCTCCTCACTGTCTCCCCACAGTCACCCGCTATTCTTTGCATTCTTCGCATCATCTTTCAACAGCCCTGTAAGAGTCTTATACCGTCTTTCTACCGTCTTTATACCGTCTTTCTACCGTATTTCTACTGCCTTGCACACACAAATGTGACGCGAAAGACTCACATTTGAAGTTTTCAAACGCTGTTCATGTTTTCAACAAGGTACCTTATGGACCGTTACCGAGTCTGAACCGAACTTCCTCTGAAACAAGAGGCAATTGCTGAGCGCAGAAGAGACAACTCCGATGAGCGCAGTAAGACCGGCTGCTATGCTGCCTGATACGCTCCCAACAAGCCGTAGGGTAGATCACAAGGTAAGCTCCTGAATCAGTAGTTCTGATTCGGACAATCGAACAATGTACGGAACAACGAAGTAGCACTTTGGTGGAGAGGGAAGGACTGAAGCGATGAACTTGGAAGAAAAGGGAATTCTGGAGGTGATAGAAGATACCACATCCTGGTACAACAGGATCGCACCAGGACCTGGAACGCAGAAACCATCACGCTAAGTCACGTGACAGAGGCTCAAGAGCAGTCACTCTGCTCTTGGCCATCACCTATATGGGAAGCAAGCACACAGTTTCAAGGCTGTTCTTGCAGTCTTTCCGAGGAGCGACGACGAGCAGGACAGTTTGAAGATGGTAGAAGGAGAAGGGCAATCTTTCGGGTACAGAGCGAGGAGGCTGAAAGGATTTCTTACCACACTGCTGGCTAGCATTGATGGTTTGTTTGCTTGTGAGGACCGGTATTACTTCACTGAGATGAGGGGGCTGTGCCCTCTATCAAGGCAGATTGGAAAGAGCAACTCTAAGTTTATAAACGGCGTTTTATTCTTCTTCAACCTCAGTGCTTTCAAAGGTTGTTGCTCTTCTCCAAGAACGAACTTTGTGATCCATGAGTTTGAGATCCTATTGTTTTTCATTGTGGATGTATGGTTAAATGTTATAGCACGATTCTCTCCTCACGGTCTACCCCGAAGTAGAAGAAGAAGATTCATGCGATGTTGACTCCCGGACTTGATTCATGCTAGATACCCTTGAATAAGGTAACGGTTGTCAGGAGGGCCCACGGTAGTGTTTGACTGAAAAATCAGGCTCAGCAATCATCTTTTCTCCTTAGAAAATTCCAACCCGGTTTCTTCTTGTCAAACTTTCTGGGTAAGGCTTTCCGAGGCCCTCAGTCACCCGGCCGACGGACTTCTCCTGGCATCCGATCAGGTCCCGGATCATCAGTCACTGAGTCTTTGGGCCTACGCGGCGCGGCCCGCGGACAGCGCTCTCTGTGGCGGCTAACTTTAGTAACCGTGAGGACTCCGGGAGGCTCCCCCGGCCCGGGGCCAGCGGCAGATCAAGGCTGATCGGACTGAACTGACCGGCGGTGCATGGTGACATCAGACTGGCACCGTCGGCCGTGAGCGGCCTCGGAGGTCGGGCCGGGCCACGGCCTCGGCGCTGCCCCGGGTCCGACCGTGGCAGCCCACTTTAGAGATCACTGATCGCCGGGATGATTGCAGTGCCCACACCGTACTACTACTGCGGCAGAGCAGGCCTGCCGCCGGGCCGCCGGGCCCGGCCCGGATATGACATCGGAGGCCCGGAAACAAAAAAAACGGTCAAAAAAAAAAACTCGCGGTGACTCTCAGCACTGAACACTAGTGAGTTGAGTTGCGTACCGTACGGTACCGGGGGGCTGAAAGGGCGCGAGCTCGTGCCGCTGAGAAAAGATTTGAGGATACATACCTGATGTCGACTGGGGTGGGGTCCGGGCCGAGTCACGATCGGATATCATTGGTTCCAAAGTATCCACCCCACCCCCTTTGTTATCACAGAAGTAAAGTAGGTAGGGGTTCTCAGTCATCATTGGTTGGGTACGGCAGAACCGCAACGGTTCCATTCCCTACCCTTTCTTATCGGATGCATATCTAGTCGGAGGGGGTAGGGGTCGGTACTTTGATTGAGAACCCCTACCTACCTCAGTTGTGTAGTGTAATAGGGGGTGGGGTGGATACTTTGGATCCTCAACATATCTCCCGAGGATTCTTATCTCACATCAGGGGTGGTAGGGGTGGTAGGGGTTTTACGGACTCCCATTTTACTGTTTTTTCGGAACTCGTTCATCTGGTTGTCCTCCTGGCTTCCTCGCTTTGCTCCTCACCTTCTTATCTGATCCTCGCTTGCTTCTCACCTTCTTGTCTGATCCTCGCTTACTCCCCACCTTCTTGTCTGATCCTCGCTTACTTCTCACCTTCTTGTCTGATCCTCGCTTGCTTCTCACCTTCTTATCTGATCCTCGCTTGCTTCTCACCTTCTTGTCTGATCCTCGCTTGCTTCTCACCTTCTTATCTGATCCTCGCTTGCTCCTCACCTTCTTGTCTGATCCTCGCTTGCTTCTCACCTTCTTGTCTGATCCTCGCTTACTCCCCACCTTCTTGTCTGATCCTCGCTTACTCCTCACCTTCTTGTCTG